AAAAAAGCGACGACTTATCTCGGAAAGCTTATCGTATCTTTTGGTTATGAGAAAAGATAAGAAAAGTTTTTTTTTTTTTTTTTTTTTTTTAAATACGATTCAAGCTATCAAAAATGTCTGTGGTGCAGAGGTGTATAACTGTACAGATCACTGTCACATACATATAACTTACTCTCCAGAATACAAAACGACATTAGAAGGTTTAGCTTGTCACACCTTGTTACACACGTTAGTTAAACTTAAATGTAAGGATAAAGAAGATGCTTACAATGAAATGTGTAATCAGCTTTCGAACTTAAAAAGGTTTATTCATAACATTTACTAATATAGAATTATGTGGTTATTATAGAACGTTAAATTGTTTACCATTTACGCGTAATTTAGACAACCGTCAAAAATATGAGTATAATGGAAATATGCTAACAAAACGACTGTTTTACACACTTATATTAAAGGAGATTTTTTTTTAATAGATACAAATCATACATCGAGAATAGAATTTTATGATAAGTACTACACACGAACCGAACACAACAACGATAATATAGTAACTACTAAATGTCGAGGCAGACACGTTATGAAAATACTTGACTGTAATAAACGGATTAGTGGTGGCTGTGATGCACGTCAAATATACCTATATATAAAAATTATACACAATTTTTTTCTAACTAGTAGTATTAAAAAAAATGATATTTATTTGTTTTAGATCTTATGAGGAAGATTCAAGAACATAGCATAGAGTTAAAGTGTGATTGTACTGAAAAGACCTGTAGAATCCCTGATTGTGTTTATTTACAGATTGTTGTAAGAATTTGCAAGGATTTTTATAGCGCTTGGTATTTCACTTTCTGATAGAATTTAAAAGAAAAAAATCTTAAGCATACCGAGTACTGTACGACCTCTTATACAAAACTGGAAAAATCACAAACACTTTCTTTCATGTTGATTTTACAAGACACTTTAATTCCTTAAAGATTGTTAACTTCAAACCTTACTATGTATCAAAACGATATCAAAGAGTAAAATACATCTCTATTTTTGAAATTTTGTATATCGTTGAGGAAAATGCGAATAGCAATATAAAGATTTTTAGTAAATCAAATAACATTTGTTATTGTTAACATTTTGTAATCATACAAACGGTTGTAATACTTAGGTTACATGTTCATTAAGAATATAACAAGAAACACTTTGTAATAGAATTATTTAATTAAGCAATTAATTTTATAAGATGCAGTAAATTTTATGATAAGATTTTTCCAATAATAAACATGATAAATATAATATTCGATGTAACCGTCTCCATTATTTACCCTATACTTTTTCCATACATAAATTATCTACAGTTTTTTCTCAAGTTGTCGAAGGGAAATTTGAGTGTGGTAAAAACTTGAAATTATTACAAAGGTAAAAAGAGTGGATGGTTTATCACGCTTTTCGTAATTAAAGTATGAATATCTGTGTAATACTCTCAAGTATTCTTTTAGTTCACCGTATTCATTACTATACGAATCTGAATCTAGAATTTTTTTCATCGAATCGTCTAATCGACTCAAGTTATCTCCGACTGTCTGCGTAGTTTGTAGAACAGATTGCGTAAAAAAATTATTTGCGATTGTTAGGGTAGATGGACCAGTGCTAGCGCCCATGGTAGTGCTTTCTTATTTTATGCTTTCGAGCTGGTCTTTAGAGAGTAAAATCATTTTTTCCCGCTTTCCATTTTATTATTTTTACAATATTCTTGATAGTATTTCACTTAGAATAGGTTGCAATATTAACGGTAAAAACCCGTTGGATGTTTGAACTACTTGAACTATAATTTTCCACTTTTTTCCACGAATTCTTACCTCTACTTTTGGCAATCATCTGTCTCGAAATACTTTTAAACTTTTTAAAACTTTTTTTTCGACTGTTTTTTAGAGAAATAACACCTTTGAGAACGTTTAGAACACACTTGCACAAGCAGTCGATTAATTTGTTGTCTCCTTTTTTTTAACAATGCAGCTCTCTGTTCTCTGTTAAGATGAGTAAGAGCTTCTAAAATTGCAATGAACCTTCTCTCGAACGGAGCTTCGCGAGACTCGTCTACACGACGAGGGGCTTGTTTAAAACTTCCGTTTTTCTATGTTGATGGTTTCATAATCAAAAGAAAACTGAAAGCTAAACGTTACTGCTAACTATTTTATCTGTCAATTAATACCAGATGCATGAATGCACTCGTAGCATATTTTGGCAAGTAAACGTACTGATACTCGAAGTCGGGAAATATACTTGCACGGAATCTTAACTCATCCAAGCTGTCTTGCTTGGCAATGTGTGAAATCAATCATAAAATAAACATGACCTTTAGCCGTTGCGTCTTGATCTGCCTCTTGCATAAATTTTGGATCTTCAGGATACATATGTCTAGCCAAATGTTGTATTTACGCACGATCGCGAGGGTTCTTAAATACTACGGTATAGGACGCGTTCAGACTTATGTCTAGCGAATGAGTTAACCTGTGAAAAATATTTTTCATTGTAAACATTACACTAATGTTTTTAAGGTGACTCCCTTTTGTAAAAATATTTACCACAACATGATTCAACTCATGCATTAGATCGTCGATGACTAAAAGTTTTTAAAGATGAGGATCGTTTGAATAATCCAAAGATTTTGGTAACCCCTCGTGAAATTCAATTTGCTGTTCATTTTTCAAAAAATGTTTACTTTTATAACCATCCTGCCACTCTGCATAATCAAATAAAATAGGTCAAACGTAGCTTTCGCCGTCTATTCTAAACTATTTTAAAATCAACAATGAAGGCATAAGTGAAATAAAAGAAAACTGGCTATGTAACCTTTCTAACACACCGCTACCGCATTGTGTCTCAAGCATATTAGAGACGGGCGATAAATTTAATTTTGTTTCTAATGTTAACTAATGTGATTATTTTTAACTTCTCAAGAATTTTGAACATTTATTAAAATATTCTGGAGAATTTGAGACTGTCAGAAAAGAACTACTTAACATTATTGGTAACAATAGACATAATGTATCTACTCGTCTTTCTTTAAATGATGGAATTCTCCAAAACAATTTAAAGCGAACACGAGTCTTTCTTAAAAATAATAAACACATTTTAATTACTAAAGCAGACAAAGGTCATATCCCTGTTGTCATTGACAAAGAAACTTAAATTAATAAAGTAGAAGAATTGTTAAGTGATGATGAATATTATTTACAGCTAGAAAACAATCCTTTAAAGTAATTAATTAAAGATACAAAAAATTTTGTAAGCAAGTGGGATCAATACGGTATTTTTAATGAATTAAATAAGTTTGATAAAAATATTCATAAAACAGAACTTATTTAAATGCTACGGACTAATAAAAATACACAAAAAAAGGCTTTCCTATCCGTATCATTGTCTCGACACTAAATTCACCTACTTACATTTTTTCAAAATTTCTTTCTAATTTTTTGATTAAAAATATTCTGCTGGTGAAATCACACGTAAAAAATAGTCATGAGTTGAAAAATAAATTAAAAGATATTATCATTTCACCTGGTTACACTCTTATTAGTCTAGATGTTGTTAGTTTATTTACTAATACTAGTGAAGCCTTAATCATAAATGCAATAAGACATTTTTGGAAGTTCTTGAATGGTAAAATCAATGTTTCTCTGAATGAATTTTGCACAGGTGTATCTTTAATTTTGTATTCAACTTTTTTCCATTTCAACAACAAATTTTATAAACAAGTTTTTTGCTCTCCAATGGGCAGTCCCTGTAGTCTAGTACTGTGTGATCTTGTAATGCGTTTGCTAAAAATTACAAGCTTAGAGAAGTTATGTTTTGATGTTCCACTGTATGTGCGGTATGTGGATGATAATCTCTTATGTGTGCCTACTAAAGATACTAACTATACTAAAAACATTTTTAATAGCTATTGTCCGGAATTACGATTCACTGTTGATACATGCAACAACAACAGAATTAGTTTCTTAAATTTAAAAATTATTATTCAACAAAATAACACGGTGCTAACTAATTGGTACCAATAACCCACACATTCAGGCCGATACTTGAATTTTCTCTCCCACCATCCAATACAACATAAAATAGGCATCATTTACACATTAGTAGACTTTTCCATTAAATTAGCAGACACTCAATTTCATAACGATAATTTAAAATTAATCAAAAAATTTTTACTGGCTAACAACTATCCTCAAAAATTAATTGATAAATTTTTAAACAAAAGAATAAATACTTTAAAAACATGAACATGATTGACACTTGCAATAGAAACAGTAATAGTTATAAACTAATTTTATCATTACCGTATATTCTTCACTTGCACGGTCCTATTAAATATTCGTGTAAAAAGCTTCACATTAGTCTTGTATATAGTTTAAACAATAAATTGAATTCGATCTTTTTACTTGGAAAAGGTGTAACCGAGCCAGTTGATGAAAATAATGTCGTTTACCACATACCATGTGCGAATTGCCACTGCTGTTATGTCCGTCAAACATCGAGAGCTTTAAAATTAAGAAATACAGAACAGAGAGAAAAAAAAAGGACACATCTGTACTATCAGAACATAGCATTGAATTTACACACAACTTAAATTTTGATGAAATAAAAACTTTAGACACAGAACACTATATTACATTAATATACATTATTTTAATAGTAATGTTAATAGACAACAAGATACAAAAAAATTGAAAAATAATTGTTCGATTTTAAAAATCTTTATTGAATATTGATCTAGTGCCTAGTACAGAGTTGCAGACAATTATATCACTTCTGTGGATGTGATCTCTCTCAGCTCTTTCTTCCTCGGGTCCCCGATCGTCAGTAAGTCAGCCCGCGCGTGGCTCGGCAGCTCAGCAGGAGCAGTATGCGCGCAGAACGAAGAAGGGCGCACGTGCCGTCATCTTGTCGGACGTTGATCGCGGGAAACGAGCCGAACAATCCGCCCGCATAGCTCCTGAAGCGACATACTAGTCGCCGCCCGCCAAGGCGGGTCGGCTTTCTTGACCATCAGGGGGTGGCGTTGGTGGACCGGGGTTCGCTACGGGGAATAAGGCCAGTTTGACAATCGGTCGCACGTACTCGCCAGTCGCTGTCTTCACGGTGACCGCGCGCACCAATCCATCAGGACCAGGCTGGGCGCGAATGATGCGACCTAGCGGCCAACGACCGCTCGATTGGAGGAGGGTGGCGTCCAGTAGCATGACGAAGTCGCCGACAGCAAAACTTCGGCGAGCAACGCTCCACTTCAGCCTCTGCTGAAGTGTATTAAGGTACTCTCAGCTCCAGCGTGACCAGAACTGAGCCCGAATGGCTCTCACGAGGTCCCAATGCGAAAGAGCGTCCAAGTTCTCAGTGGGAGGCCTGGGCAGGATGATGGAATCAAGTGGGGCTCCAACATAAGTGGCCTGGTGTCAGTACCTCAAGGTCAGAAGAGTCGCCGGAAAGCGGTGTCAAGGGCCTTCCGTTGAGCACCATCTCAATCCCAACTAGTACGGTGGAGAATTCCTCGTAGGTCAGGTGACGGGAGCCCATTACGTGTCGGAGGTGGCCTTTGACTGACTTGACGGCGGCTTCCCAGAGTCCGCCGAAATGTGGAGCTCCAGGGGGGATGAAGTGCCAAGCAATACCTTGCGAAGCGAGAGAGCCGGCAACGAGGTCCCAGTCGATCTCCGCAACTTGTAACGCCTCCCGCAGCTCCAGATCAGCGCGGCAAAAGCAAGTGGCATTGTCACTCCAGAGTTCAGAGGGTCGACCGCGACGAACGGTGAACCGAGCGAGAGCGCCCAGGAAGGCGGCTGTGGAGAGATCACCGACGAGCTCGAGGTGTAGGGCCTTTGTCGTCATGCACACGAAGACGGCGATGTAACCCTTCGTAGTGCGTATGCCTCGTCCTTTTGACGCAAGTACTGAAAAAGGCCCGGCGTAGTCGACTCCCGTGCGGCCAAAGGCGCGGGAAGGTGTGACTCGTGAAGCTGGTAAAGGGGCCATCATCTGGGTCGCAGAGCGAGCCTGGAGTTGGGAGCATACGACGCACCGCCGCAATTAAGCCTTGATTCTGCGTGGGCCACCGAGAATCCATGCACGCTGGGCCGCGTAGGCGCTAGTGACCTTGTATCCGCCGTGAAGAGCTCGAGTATGGGCCCAAGAAAGGACCAGCGAGGCGAGCGATGAGGCTCCGCTAAGGATCAGTGGATGCCGCTCTTCGTAAGGTAGCGAGGAGAAACCCAGCCGCCCGCCGACGCGCAGAACGCCGTTGGTGTCGAGGAAAGCCGCAAGAGAAGTCAAGGGGTTTCCTTTTGGCAATCGCTTACCGCTCTGCAAACGCGCGCGCTCTTCGCCGAACGTTTCCGATTGGCTCAAACGGACGCAGGCCAGGAAGGCATCTTGAAGCTCGGCGGGGGTCAGTGGTGAGAGCACCGGCAGGACAGGTGGGTGACGCAACTGGCGCCGGACCCACCGACGAGTGCGCACGAGAACGACGAGTAGAGTGTGAAGCTTGGAATATCGTTCAAGTATGCTAGGCTCAGCCAGATGGGTGGCGTAGCAGGCCAACGGCAAGGGTGTCACCTCTTGAAGTGCTTCCTGGGGCCAAGCTCGGTCGTTGTCAGCGAGCCACGGCGTACCGTCCCACCACAGGAGTTGTTGTCTGAGACCGGACATGTCCGCGCTTCGAGTGGTCACGTCGGCTGGATTGGACTGCGACGGCACGTACCGCCAGGCGCTCGGGGGTAGCGTGTCCTGTATCTGGGCCACGTAGTTGTCAACGAGGGCGTTGTTGGTTGGCTGATCGGAGCGAACCCAGTGCAGCACAGTTTGCGAGTCGCACCAGGCGTGACAGCGCTCAATCGGAACTGCTAGTTCTTCGGCCGTCGAGCGCAGAAGCTTAGCAGCCAGCAGGGCGGCGCGGAGCTCCAAGCGAGGAATAGTCATCTGGGCCACGGGCTCGGCCATTGGCTTAAGAGTGCGGATGGGCGCCAGCTTCGTGCGAGCGAGGAGGATGTGGCAGCGAACAGAACCGTCTGCGGCCTGGAGTCTAGAGTACAGGACAGCAGCCTTTGCGCGGCGGCTGGCATCGAAAAATACGTGCAGGTGAATGTCCGCTGACGCGACCATTCCGATCCAACGAGGCAGGGATAGACCGGAGATGGCTTGGAGCTCGGAGGCAAAGGCAGTCCACCTTTGAATCATGGACGACGGAGCAGACACGTCCCAGTCCAGGTTGGCTCGCCATAAGTCTTGCAGCAGGAGTTTGGCGTTCAGCACGATCGGCGCAAGCCAACCTCATGGATCAAACAGGCCCGCGAGCGCTGCGAGCATGGTCCTCTTGGTGGTTTGGTGCTGGATGAGGGGAGGTGTTAGCAGGAAGCAATCTGACGGTGGGTCCCAGCTCACACCGAGCTCACGGACGAGACCTTCAGCGCCAAGCTGACACCAAGTGGGCCACAGGCGCACGTCGTCGGGGAGGTCGTCTAGCAGCTCGGGCACATTGGCTACCCATTTGCGCAGAGGAAACCCGCCGGCTTACAGAAGTTCGATTAGCTGGTCACGAATATGTCGGGCCGTGGCGATGTTGTCAGCACCGGAGAGTATGTCGTGGACGTAGCGGTCGTTCATCACCACGGGAACTGCCTCGGGCCAACGGTGTCCTTCGTCCTCGCACAGCTGCTGCACAGTGCGCAAGGAGAGGTACGGTGAGCACGAAGCGCCGTAGGTAACTGTTAACAGCTGGTAGTGCGTGGGCGGTTGGTTTGGATCAGGGCTCCACAAGATACGCTGTAAGTCGACGTCACGCTTGTCAATCCAGATCTGACGAAACATCATGAGGACGTCGCTGCAGAAGGCGATTCGGTGTCGTCGCCAGCGTAGGAGCACACTGGAGAGCGCGGTCTGCAGCCTAGGGCCCGCGAAGAGGACGTCGTTTAAGCTGTAGCCGCTCGATGTCGGTTTCGAGGCGTTGAACACGACGGGAAGCCTGCGGCCCTTATTGCTGCTCTGCCCGATGCCGTGATGTTGGATATAGTGCACTGGTCGGGGCGATGCCGTGCGCAGATCGTCAGGCAGCGGCCTCATGTGGCCAGTAAAGGCTGCCGGCTGCAGGCCAGGAGCACGGCCGACGAGGGTCCAGCCGAAGATCGTGTGCTGACCGATAATGTCGCCCTGCCGGACGGATTCCACCCTCAATATGCGGCTGTAGACGTCAGCACCGAGAAGCAGGTCCACACGACTAGGTGTACCGAATGCGGGGTCGGCCAGAGGCAGAAGATCAAGCCACTGCTCGGCCACAGAGTGATAAATAACTACTCAATGATATAAAAAAAAAACCTACGTACTTATGTGGTATTTGGAAATTTTTTTCGTGTTTTCAAATTCTTTCTTGTTCTCTTTATTCATCTCCTAATATTAGATTTCTCAGGAATATAAAGTAGCTTGATCAAATTGATGCCGTTGATAATTATACTCATATAATAATAGAGAAACGATGAATTGCGATGATGTCATGGATGCTTTTAAATTATTATGTGCTTGTTTCCCTCTTAATCGGATTTCGTGTCACTTATATCATCGTTGTTCTTCCTGTAAATGTTTATAATTTCATGATTGATATCGGTTAATAATTATCATGAATAACACTTTTACATAAAAATACACTATTTTCGTTTATTTCTAACATAATTTCATTCTCAAATAACCTTGCAAAAACTAATTATATTATTTATTTTGATTACATTCGCATAATAATCAGTCTATCTCACCATTACGGGTATTAAAATTTATTAAACAGAGTGATACTAAATTCTTAAATATTGCTTTAATACCATAGTAAAGAGACAAAACAGTCCATTTTTTACTTTACATTAGGTATTCAAAATAATAGCCATATAAGATGTACTAAGTGGCAACATTTTATTGAAAAGTATTCATCGCTTTTGTAATAAAGGAGATCAAGAAAGTATCATATAAATTACTACTCTACAATTCAAGACGTAATTTTAATTAAATGTAAGATATCATTAAAGTTTCGAGATGATGTACACAAATGCTTAGAAGTATTTTTAAGAAGCCGGTAAATGAATTGCAACTATATTCTCGGTTTGAAACAAGATAAAATTGTTTTGTTGAAATTCAATAATTAGTACAATTGAATTTAACTTTTGATTAAAAAATGAAGTAATTGTTTTGCTTAGTGAATATAACAAGTTTATGATACTGCACATAGAATGACATATTCATTATGTAATATTTTTTCCCCCAGCGTATAATACACCTGTAATTAGAGTTTCCGATGTAATTACTACATTTATATGGAGAAATAAGATATTATGATTTTTTAACAATGGTAATATATAAGATTATGCCAGTATTGATTTTTGAAATCTATTACTTGTTGACTGTATCTTATTTTATTTAATATTACACTGAAATTCACAAGTTTAAAAAGAACTTTGTAGAGACTATATAAGTGCTTTTACTTACTGTGATCGCGTGAATCCACTTAAGACTTGAACATTTTTAAGATTCGCTTTTACGTTGTCTTTGTTAAATGTACTTTAATGAAATGATAGGGTCTGTCATGTAAACTACTCTATTAAAAACGTCCAGAATTCTAAGCTTCCTGCTTATTTGTCGTGCGTGTGCAGTCCAATTTCTGCGATAATACTTGTGCTAGCTTTCACTACAATCTTCGGAAAAATATGCTAAAGGTAAAGGGAACTTTTTCGCGATCTCACAACTATGAGCAAGCAATTTGGGTAATGTGGGGCTCATTTTCGCCTAGGGATAACATTCGTAATACTTTTCATAAGTTTCAATACACAGTGTACTTATTTTGCTCAGAACTAGTGCATGCTTGCTTTTAAATGATGATATTACGAGAGAAATGTTTTTCACCAGCGTTATATCTAGTTCAAGAACTTCAGCAAATTTTTCTAGTTCCGCGAAGCATTTTCGAGCAACGTTACTGTTTGTAAAGGTACCATGCCCTTAAAGGACTGGGTCAACTCAAACCTTGAACTTTTCGTAAATTCTATTTCGTACAATTTGAGTTCGCTCATCTGCCTTTTCTAAAATAATATTTATATTACTATGCAAACTAATATAGTTAGGTTACTGATTTGACACTTCATTTTTCTTAAAAATTAAAAATATGAACTTTTTTGCAAGACGTAATAGCTAGATTTGACAAAAGCCAACTTCGTTCATGATCAATAATATTTATATTGAAGAATACTTTTGATATACAATTATATTTCTGAAGAAACATTGTAAATTTGAGTTTTCTAACACAGTTATTTATTAAAATATCCAATAGCAATCAATTTCGGACTTCATGTGGAAAACCCAATCGTATGTGCATGCTAACTCAATTACTCAAAACGACGGTATGTGTGTTTTTACATGAATATCAATGAGTAAATAATAGTTATTCACATTTAAACGATTGGTCAAACTTAGAAGGTACAACCTTAAGGACACATCAAATGCAAGTGAATGGCAAACTCGTCCAACTGTTTGGATTTTTATTTAAAATTAAAAATTGTATTGCGTCACTTGAAAAAAGTAATAAACCCTGCTGTGTAAGGTCTGAAAAAAGTAAAATTTTTTTTTTGAAATTTCCAGTGCGATAACGTGGCCTAATTATTACAATTACGTCTTGCAATTTTCATTAGAAAATAATATCTCGTATCCTTTATATAGTTACACCCGAAAGATACACATTAACTACAGTCACTGCATGCACTACGAACTAGCGAAAAGAAGAGTTTTTCAATTTATATTTCACCTTTAATATTACTATAAATCGTCCATTTTTTCAAAGAAAGTCTGTATGATATGTGGGTAAGATTTTCAAAAGCTTTTATTTCAGCATGTAGAAGACCAAGGCCAAGCTCCACAAATACACATTTTCCGTCTAGTAATGTAACAAAAACTTTAAATGACACTTCTGCTTCTTGTCCATTATCTAACTGAAATGCATATGATGTAAGTGTGGATATTTCATGGTTTAAACGATTATACTCTGTAAGTATGGACTCCAGCGTTTCCTTCTCTAACGCAATTCGCACTGGTCTACAGAATCTATAACTATGTGGGCTCTGATTCTTTCATGTGCAATTAGCTGTAACAAAATAATTTAGTATTTATATTACCAAAATAATCTCTACGATAATTCCTAAATTTTGTGCTGAGACAGCGGTTTTTATTGACCAAGCATCATAATGTATTAAGGACGCCCGATGATTAGACGTTGCTCTCACTTATAATAGTATAAAACATATATTCGAAGAGATCAAATGATAAAGTGATAAGGCAGATATTAAGATACGAGGATAGTTTTGAAGACCCAAGAAATTTTTCTCGTATAAAATATTTAGCATTGTTTACGCAGATATTATCGATTATATAAAATTTACTACTTGTGTAGAAATATTTATATTCCCAACTAAAATTACTCTAAATAAGGTCTCCTTTAAATCGTGAAATTTTTTATGACACATGATTTACTGTGCAAACGATACAAACGATAAACAGTCAATTTGCTTACCATTGGATCTACTTTGTAGTTGAACAATGAGCATACTAGAAACAAACAAAGATTGCAAGGGATCTTGATTAATAACATTTGAATCGGTATAGTCTTGCTGTGGGTTACAATGACCAGCAGAGCTATCGAACCCAAGTGTCACAGAGAGCTGCAAGTGTTGTAAGTCCGGTTTGCTCCAAGAAGTTGCTACTGCAGAACATAGTTATTGCACTGTTTTATTAAGAATATTCTGGAGAGAAACGCGAATTTCAACTTCTGTATGTACATCATACGGTAATACGAGGCAATTCTTCATCTCTTTTTGTATCAAAGATTAAGAAGGGTAAATATTACATTTTCTGATACGCAAATCCCTGACTAGAGCTACATACGACTTCTTACTAAAATCATGTTCACAGTAATACGCAAG